GAGCTGTTGACCATGTTTTTAACGACTTTTAAATACTGAGAGTATAAGCTCACAGTGATATGGAAGACAACTATGTCACTACCAATGATCACAAGCATTGTATCAATCAATTTGTATGGTATTATTTGTCTCATATCCTTTATGAGGAGTGAAGTTGTATACACCTTAGAAGGGGGCCTCAAAAAGATTAGAATATACTCCTAGGAACAATTAATTGCCCAAGTCTTTTGAGACTCAAGTGACCAGCAAATATGAAAAGTGAAGCGAAGAATCGCAGATGTGTCACGTATTCAGCACGGCGGGGAGAGAGTAAGGTCAAAGGGCAGCGACAAGTAGGACCAACATTAGCAACGCAGTACCGGCTCATTGGGACCGTACAAGGCTTTATATGTAATTGAGGCGACTTCCGGGATGACACAGGGATGACTGGCTAAATACTCGTGATATTCAAGGCCGTGAGAATGTATAATAGATCTTAGCCTATGTATGTTTCAACAGTTGGGTCAGAATCTATTAGCTGTCGATAAAAACTCAATACAAATTAAGTTGGACCAGGTTATGATAGTCATTTCGTTAGGTTATATAATTTTTTGAAAAGCTAATATGAAGTTTTTTTTTTTTTTTTTTTTGGAAACAATGATAGAAAGTGAAAAAGCTATCCTAGCAAACAAGCTCAACTTGCATATAGAGTGCCGGATGCTTGCAAAATTTTGCATTGAAATACTTATTATTCGTGTTTTCAAACAATTTAACAGTAATATTTAGATAAACTTGAGTCGAAATTATGAAAATTTGTCCGTATAAAGACAAGTTAGGTCGGGTTGCGAAAGTTATTTCATTTTATCCTTCCCATAGCAGATTCCAGATTCTCGATCTTCTGTCTTTTGTCGTTGAACATTTATGATGGCCCTGGTCCAGGCTAAAGAAAAATGGACTTAAGTCTCGTACCAGTCATCTCATTGGATTTTATCCGTGTTATGAAATGAACCAACTGGAGCTCGTTTTATGAATTTAAAAAAGTAATTCCACATATTACGTAAAATATAATCATCTTTGGCTAGTGTCACTGTTTATTTGTGTATCACATCAAAAAAACTTTATTTATTCTTCATCTAGACTAATTGAATGAAGTTCTATCATGTCATCGGACTCATTGATTCACCTACTTTCTCAAACTTAACATCTGTATCTCCCGAAAGGTTTGAATAATCTTTGTTGTTTTTATTTATTCTGTTAATGGTTTGTACACTCGATGATGTCATCCGTCTGACACGGAACCAGCTGCTCAACAATGAGCTTGACAGTTAAGTGTGTCAAGATCAGACAAGTGAAGAGAGTAAGAAGATGGTGACAGTCTGGTTATTATAATAGATGAATGTTGATTCTCAAATGCGAAAGCCAGTTATCTTGTGTGCTAATCGTCTTGTTTCAGGCTTCTAGGGTAATGAATAGTTAATTTAATCGACTTATTGTAATTTTAGAAGTGTAATGTAATGATGAGTTGGGGATTTTCGAGAAGAAGTGTGAATGAATTTGTTTTTCCTTTTATGAGGGGTGGTCCTCCAATACAGTTCTATTCTCCTGAGATACCTAATTGTATGTGTTATACACAGGTGTATATTTGTATATAAATCCAGATTGAGGAGGCTTAACCTCCCGACAATAGGATAGCGATTTTGTTCCATAGCTAAGATAATATGCTAAAACCGTTATTGTATTGATTGTTGGAATTTGAAACCGAACTACATGTAATACGGGCCTGATTTGAGAGAAACTGGTAATGCCCTTTTGAAACTAGCTACCTAAATAACTGGCTAGAAGATTGTTATTATAATTTGAGTACAGTTTGGACAGTAAATTGCGATCTTATTTGTGTTTATTTGTGCTTATCTGCGTCATTTAAACTTGTTGTGGTATTTGTAGGAGAGTAGGTTCAAACTCGTGTCGTCTTACTAAATAACGTCGACCTTATGTACGATAGCATCAATCATTGATAGTCTAATGACAATTATGGCACTTCCAGGATCAACCTCTCTTGGAAATTAGCCAAAAATCTTCAGACACATCTTTCAAACATTCACTTCACAAAAATTTGTGGGATCATAAGTTTCTTGCGTCGTTTGAAACATGTATCAATTGCCTACTTCACCTTTGATTGTAGACACTATACGTGTTCTTTATCCCTCTCCATTTAAAATATTAATTACATTTATTATATAACAATTGTATAGATAACTGAATTACATAAATCTTCTGCTAGATGTTTTAGTAGATTATAGTGTTAGCGCAATACCCCAAGTTTAATTTAGATTACTGATTTTGTGGGATACCCTATTTCGGATAAAGCTAGAATAATTTATCACCCAACCCAAATATCACTTGTGATACTACTGCTTCCAACCACAGCACAGAATAAATATGTCTCTTTATTCTACACTACTAACCGAAAACGGTGGTTGGTTTGCCTGCAGCTTCAATTTGCTGTTGAATTTTCACAGCAATTTGAACTCTGGTAAGTTTGCAATCTTGGTTTATGTTTATATATAATCTTCAGCTGCGAGCTGACCGCTAACCATTAGTTAGCGGACTGGTTGTCCTCTTTAGCGGACGTTCTGAACGACCCGGATCACACCCAGCGCCGTTTCACACTTAACGATTTTGTGATAAATGAGTCATCAATTAAATTAAACTACTAACGTGAACATTTTCTCTGAACGAACAGTAAAATTTAAAAACCCCCGCCGCAGCAAACCTGCAGAATAAGCAAATTTCCATTTGCATGAGTGGATTTACACTAAAATATATCCTTAAAAATGTTACAAAGTTATTCCCTATTTAAATAGCATTAGTTTAACAAGTACTTGGGTTTGCTGTAACAGGGAGGGCTTAAAAGTGTTTTTTTTTTATGTTAATACAGTACGTAGTTTAGTATGAAATAAATGCATTTTCCAAATTTGATCAAAATATGTGCATAAACAAGCAAACTACAAAAGGGATTATAAATTTAATATTTTTTGAATTTTCTCCGTAACCATTAGGCTCTAATGATGCTTAAATATACTATATAATTTGGCTTTCACGCTCTATAAAATGGTTTTGAAAGAAATTGCAAAACTTTATATTTTAGGGCCAAAAATAGGAAAAACCAATAATGGGAAAAAGGATAGTGAGATAGCGCTGAATCCAAGGGCATCAATTAGTGGAATAATCAATTGAACTGAAATGGAATGAATAGAAAAAAAGTCTAATCCTACTAAGAGTTTATTTTATATTCTAATAGTCTTGGCCTTTGTTTCACTTTTCTAATATTTTGGGTTTGGTATAAAATTCACTACTTCCTTAACTTTCACATTATTTAATGTATGTTTTTGGTAAACTTTAGCTTTAGTGTCCGGATGTATTCCACTTGGACATCATCTATTTATAATTGGACATCATTATTAGACACATGTATTTTGATTTGGATGGAATTCGATTTTTTACCATTAGTTTTATATAGACATAATTTCACTTATTTGCTCTTAGACGCTATTACTAAAACCCTGAAGATGGTAGAATGGAGTATATTACAATTTGTTGAAGGAAGTCTTTTTCATTTTTCCATGTTGTTCAAATTGGGTGGTTTGCCAAACAAGTTCAAATCTGTTATGTATAAACAAACAGTTAACCTCTAAAATACTTAGTGATCTGTGAATTAGAATTAGTGGCCGGATTATGGATGAATCTTGAAAATGGTATAAATACCAAGTCATGGTGATAATCGTACACACAGCAAAAATACACACACAATAACACAGCAGTGGCAATAGATTCAGTACAAAAGTGATCAGTGGTGACTATACTTGGACAAATGCTGACGTTTGTCACCAAAGAAGAAGAAATATTCAGCAGAAGGTGACAAAAGTAAACAGATATCCATGTACAGCCAAGGGATGATCCCACAATTGTGCCAAATGTAGTTGCCAAAACCATATTAAAAATTCGTTTTTGAAACATTTCCCCTACTGAAGTTCAAAAAAGGTTATACAGCAGTGGAATATAGTTTAAATATTACGAAAGCCGTTTATTAAGTTTTAAATGTTTGTGTTTAATACTGTTGTTACTACAACAACTTTTCTTAATTTCTTATACAGGTACTATATCGTTTTTAAACGTGCAAATTAAACTGTCTCAACACTGTTTTCTGAAGTAATTGCTTCATACGTTGTGTAAAAAAGTTTAGGTAACGTCGAATATGTTTTCCATTAACGAACCTCCAGCAATCCAACATAAAGGTTACCGAATACAATAATCTACTGTGGCCCAAAGTTCAGCTATAATTTTGATATCACTTTGAAGGATTTGAAACAATCTTAATAATGTAACACAGGTTGAGTTACATCACATATTCTAAATATGTTCAAGGAATACAGATTGCACGTGTTCTGAGTGATCATTCGCGTATAAGTGACAAAATGTCAAAGCTTGCTTGGTTTCAATTTAAGTGAAATTGCAGATAACTATGTAGATCAATTCATTGTCGATAATATCAACGGTTCTATTACAATGCAAATAGTCATTTCAACAGCAGTTGACACTTCATGCTACGGGTTCATTAGTGTATGTTATTTACTTTTAAAAATAAGAATCAGTCATTATTCTTGGCCATTTTGTATAGTTGAATTTAATACCATGAATCAAGTTATGGAGTCAACTTGGTTTATCAATTACCTACGACTCCCAAACAGTAAATATTTATAACTATAACTATAAATACTAGCATTGTCTCATAATGATAATTATATAAACAAAGTAATTACAAATATTATGTTTTACTTCCAAGCAAAGCGGATTACCCCCCAAATTATCTCCCAACTTTTACCTCTTGCGTATGAAAAGTGAAGAGTTATAGAAAGTGGCAGATGATCATGCAGCGGAAAAATCTTGTTATACCAATTATCCGACGCATCTGTACCACGGTGGTGATCTTCAAGCTCTAGCTGATAAAGAGGTCTACTTACTGATGTGCTTGAAGAAGAGACGCCCCTCTTGAGGTTGGTCAGGGAGCACGTTCAGCTTGACGATCGCTCCTCCATCGTCGTCAAATCCTCTGGGGGAGATTCGCACCTTGCCTCCTCCAAACATGAAGGATGGGATAGCTAAGTCTACATCGTGGGTCATCAAGTACTTGAGACCTCGATCGTACATCACATCAGTTAAGTCTCGAATGTTCTTTGACTCGGGTAAAGTAGAGTTTTGTGAGGAGTTTTGCGAATCCACAACTGATGGAATCGATGTTTCTTCAGTTGAAGATTCTTTTAAGGATTTACCTTTTCTAAAATTATCCTCCTTTTTCTCTACCTCTTCCACTTTCTCGATAAACTCTGAGAACCCATCCTCGTTGTACTCCAACTTCCGTTCTGCCCGTTCGTTGAAGTCTCCCGGATGATCTTTCTTCACTCTCGCACAAATGTTCGTATAGTTGTTCTCGTTCTGTGTGAAAGACACCGCGTCCGTCACAAAGTCTGACTCCAAAGCACTGTCCAAATACGACGTAAGACTCTCCTGGACGCACCCGTAACTAGACCGTTTACCGCACTGTTGGTACAGGGTGCTCCACAAGTCGTTCTCGCCGAAAGCACTCTGGTCGAAGACATCGGTAGTCTCGTCTATGTCTAATTTGGCGCGAACAAAAACACTTGAACAAAGAAGGCAGACGATAGCGAATGTACAAGTCGCGGAAGACATTTTAGTATTTACAAAAGTTGGACGCCGGAGTTCACCTCATGATCGTGCGGCCGGGCAGGAGATCGCGTCTCGTCTGTCAGAGGCTCAGAGCGCAGGCGTAGTGTTGGCGCTAGTTTGAGGTTAGGTTTGCAGTCATCCCCCCTCCCCACCCGCGACTCTCTCCCGCGGCGTCACTTGGCATGCGAAAGGCGGTCAGCAGAGCCAAGGTTACTAGAGACCTTGAACTTGTCGCCCACCTGATCTGCCGCTGGTCACACCCAGGGTCAGGAGGTGTTATCGCCATTGCTCCATTAATTTACAGGTTCGATCTTTTGCAGTAGATAGTTTTAATTAGGCCTACTACACACTAACTAGGTGGCGTTCGCAGAGGCATCCACAAAATTGAGCGGAGTCATCGAGGGTTCATGTTATATTGTTTTTGTCATATTGCAGTAAAAACAGTCGTCTATGCGTTGCAGGTCTAAAGTAGCATTTTTACTCTCTAGGGAGTAAAAATAGTTTTTAGCCTATATGGAGTAAACATCAGCTGTTGTCAACTCAGTTGTAAATTTGAATTGTAAACGATTGCATGTATCTAAAATATGTATCGATTCGTGCTTCGTAATCATTTTAACCTAAAAAGTCTACAGTCTCTTCCCATAGCATTTTAGTATTGCAGATACATTCATCCATTCCCACACTCAACACTGCTCACCTTTACTACTTCCTTCACCACCCACTACGTCGTAGACCTGTTCCCTCTCTTCCCATAGCATTTTAGGATTGCAGATACATTAATGTAATTGCCAAAGACAGTTCCCACACTCTGCATTGCTAGCCTTACTAATTGCTTCACCATTTCCTACGTCATATACCTGTTTCCTTCCTTTCTCACATTACATTTAAGATTGCAGACACATTTATCTAACTGCCCAAACGGTTCCCCCACTCTGCACTGCCAGCCTTTAATACTTCCTTCACCACGTCCTCCGTCGTGGGTCCTGTTTCCTTCCCTTCTCATCGCATTTTAGGATTGAAGATACATTAATCTAACTGCCACAGACGATTCTCACACTATGCTCATACTTTACTATTTCCTAAGCCACTTCCTACGTCGTGGACCTTTTTTCATCACTTGCCATATCATTTTAGTATTTTAAATACGTTAATCTAATTGCCACAAACATTCCCCACACTCCGCACTGCTACCCTTTACTACTTCTTTCTCCATTTCCTATGTCGTGGGCATGCTTCCATCCCTTCTCATGGCATTTCAGCTTTGCAGATACAAATGGTTTCCAGTTCCCACATTCCACACTGCTCACCTTACTACTTCCTTCATCTCTTCCTATGTCTTGAACCTGTTTCCCTCTCTTCCCATAGCATTTTAGGATTGCAGATACCTTAATCTAATCGTCATAAACAGTTCCCACAGTCCGGACTGCTTGCCTTGACTACTTCCTTCACCACTTCCTACGTCGCAGACCTGTTTTCCTCCCTTCCTATAGCATTTTAGGATTGCAGATACCTTAATCTAATCGTCATAAACAGTTTCCACACTCCGGACAGCTCGCCTTGACTACTTCCTTCACCACTTCCTACGTCGCGGACCTGTTTTCCTCCCTTCCCATAGCATTTTAGGATTGCAGATACCGTAATCTAATCGTCACAAACAGTTCCCACAGTCCGGACTGCTTGCATTTACTACTTCCTTCACCACTTCCTACGTCACGGACCTGTTTCCCTCCCTTCCCATAGCATCATAGAATTGCAGATACCTTAATCTAATCGTCATAAACAGTTCCCACACTCCGGACAGCTCGCCTCGACTACTTACTTCACCAATTCCTACGTCACGTACCTGTTTCCCTCCCCTCCCATAGCATCATAGGATTGCAAATACCTTAATCTTATGTTCATAAACAGTTCCCACGTCCCGAACAGCTCGCCTTTACTACTTCCTTCACCACTTCCCACGTCACGGACCTGTTTCCTTCCATTCGAAAAGCATTTTAGGATTGCAGATGTCTCAAACTAATCGTCACAAACAGTTCCCACAGTACGGACTGCTTCCCTTTACTACTTCCTTCACCACTTCCTACGTCACGGACCTGTTTCCCTCCCTTCCCATAATATCATAGGATTGCAAATACCTTAATCTATTGGTCATAAACAGATCCCACGCCCCGGACAGCTCGCCTCTACTACTTCCTTTACCACTTCCTACGTCGTGGACCTGTTTCCTTCCCTTCCAATAGCATTTTAGGATTGCAGATGCCTCAATCTAATCGTCATAAACAGTTCCCACACTCCGGACAGCTCGCCTTGACTACTTCCTTCACTACTTCCTACATCGTGGACCTGTTTTCGTCCCTTTCCATAGAATTTTAGGAATGCAGATACCTTAATCTAATCGTCATAAACAGTTTTCACACTCCATACTGCTACCTTTACTACTTCCTGCACCACTTCCTACGTCACGGACCCAAGCTAGTGTCGTCATTTGATTATGTATTATCCATACCGTTTCTGTCCTAATATCTGTGGAATAATGCTATCAGCTATTTCCTTATTTACTGCATTCAAAAGTCAACAGCTGATCATATGTCTTTGTGTATGTGTCAAATACTGCTTCCATAAGGATTACATTGAAACTTTGAAACCCAGTGGGGCGGATTCCTGAGAGACTATTTTAACGCCATATAGATGTTGGCACTCACCGATATGGTCTTTATCACCATGCAAAATTTCAAAACGATTGATTCAGCCGTCTAGGAGGAGTTTGCGTATTACGAAATGCACAAGAGTCGACGTATAAGAGCTTCGCTCGCTCCGCTCAATTAAAAATAATGATATCCCAAGTCAAACTAATCCAGTCTCTAATTGAAAAAAAATAGGCAAAGTAAAAAAGAGGAGCTTTGATGAAAAGCTTCAAAATAAACTGGATTTACTTTATTCACAGAAGTTATATCCCAGGAAAAACACGTACTACCAACATTTTCAACATGAAGGTTTTACACCTAAATTATTATTATTGTGCGGGTTGGTTCATAATTAATTCTTAAATGTTCTTTGTTGCTGCAGTAGTTACAGTAGATTTGAAGAACTCGACTCAATGAGGACACTCCAAAATTCAACATCAGATATGCATGATCACTTCATCTATAACAACGCCAACACAGCATGTCTCGTAGTGTTTTAAGGTAAAATATTTAAGTCCTTAAGTTCGTGTAATACAGGGGATTTAAAAAGGTCTCACAATTGTGTAGCAACCTATAGCTCATTCTAAATACTTCATAATAAAGGAACCTGCAAAATGGCCCGCGGTTCGTATGTGATGCGCAATGGGCATTGGGCACCAGAGATGATTTCGCCTCTCTCCACCTTTGTAGTACCTTGAGGGCATTTGCCTTGCGTGCTGCGTCCCCAACAAACCAAAAAACCCTATTGCGCCTCTGGGTCCAGGCACGCCGGGCCCATTTATTAAAGCAGCCCTGCCTGCAAAAGATGCAAGTATGAAAAGTCTTATTAAAACAATTTAAATGTTAAAAACTTATTATCACATTTAATAGTGTATCAGGTAATCGCATTTACCTTTTGTGATTTAATTTTGACAATAGTATTGTAAATATATCTAGGGAACCGTCGAAGGACTTATATACACCACAAGGGGCTGGGAGGAGTTAAATTTTGTTATTACTACCATTGAATATATAACACTCAGCTGTACTTATTTGTTTGTTATTCTTTCAATTTATAACCTTATTGAAGTGTGATTATTTGTTTGTATTACTGTATTCTGTTTTTTTTTCAGCTTAACTTAACCAATCAATAGTTTTATTAATTCAAACGGAGTGAAGGCCATGGGTAACAGCTAGTTATTTATAACGACATTTTATAATCGTGTGAATCAGATGCTTCCCCTGTGCTCGCATCGGGTCGCCGGAATTTTATCCCCCTGGAGTTTTACCCCCTGGGCAAAGCTGACGTCACTATGACGTAGTAACCTGAGTGGCCAAAAGTTTGTTCGCGGCCGGAATTTTACCCCCGCGGATTTGGAAGTCTAATGAAAATAGTCAGAGCGTGATTAATTAGATTAGCGATAAAAACCGGAATTTTACCCCCTGTCCATATAACTAGCGTTTAGGCAACTGAAGATGTACGGGCCGGATTTTTACCCCCGGAATTTTACCCCCCGGAATTTTACCCCCTGGCTGATTTTAGAAATTGAATGATTGATTTTCTTATTTCTGTTTTTAATTAATTGTAAACATTTCGTTATTTAGTAGCCTATCTTTATTTATTTATTTTGTAATCTCAACTAAGTAAACAGAATTCGCTGTTTTATTTTGATCATATTAACCAACAGTTGGCTTCAAAGATCGAATCCTGACACTCGAATCTCAAAATTAAGATAGGCTACTTAATAATAAAATGTTTACCGGTACCATTAAATTAAAACTGAATGACGATAATTAATCATTCTCACTAATTTATATATCTGGCCAGGGGGTAAAATTCCGGGGGTAAAAATCCGGGGAGTAAAATTCCGGGGGGTAAAATTCCGGGGGTAAAATTCCGGGGGGTAAAATTCCGGGGGTAAAATTCTGGGGGTAAAAATCCTGGCCGTACATTCTAGGTTTTTATAATTTGATGCGTTCTGATTAAACTCACAACCGTGAAAATATATATTTAATTCCGCGTTTAATCCATCGAGCTGATGTCGCGAAACTCAAAAGTTCGCGGCCGGAATTTTACCCCCTGGTTTGTGACGTCACGTTTGCCCAGGGGGTAAAATTCCAGGGGGATAAAAATCCGCTACCCCCTCGCATCGGGGTAAAGACGTAGAAGAGAATAAAAGTGGTTCATAGCTACTGTAGCAAGCAGTTGCCACGTCCACCAATGGTTTTAGAAACTAAACTCACTTTTATAGTTTTTCGGTGCAATTCAATAAGGTGTTTAGCTGGGAAAATGAATCTACCAACACAAGTAGTAAATGTAAATAAGTGCAAATTAAAAGTATAGGATTTCTTTTGTTGCTTTGTAGGCCAACCAATACCAAAAGCCCAACTTTGCACTT